CCTGGGCTAACATCCGTGCCCATCTTCCTCCACTTTATATGGGACGCCGCCACAGCATGGCTTGCCAAGCAGTGTGTCGGTGCGCGCCCGGGATCAGAACCAGCGAACCCCGGGCTGCTGCAGCGGAACGCGCGCACGTAACCGCTTGTGCCACCAGGCCGGCCCCTTGACTGTTTACTTTTTGAATTCACATTTGTTGCCCAAACTGGAAGTTTAATCCCCAGTCACAAGTACTCACTTTCATAACATTATCCTCTTTGTTGCCTTTTTAAAATCTATTCCATAGGTGCATATTTATGACCTCCACGAATTACTGTTATAGACATCTGAAAAGGCTTGTTTACAGCAGCGTCCAACATTTGGAATTGTGAGGTCTAGCACTAAAAATAATTAGAAACTTATGTTAAATGTCTTTCCCTTTCTCCGAGTCAATCAGGTAACTACTTTAGGCAATAAACAACAGCACTGACTTTGTTTCAAGCTAAAATGTCTTACTCATATAATACATTGAGGTACAACTAAAATCTCTGAACATTTAATATGAAACAAACATCAGAAAACCTCGAAAGGTGGAGAAAAGAAAGTAGACTGGCTAGGATCCTTAGGCTTTGAAGAGTGATGCAGCAGTGAATTCACCATTTCATTTGTTTTGTTTCCCTCAAATATATTCCAAATTGGTCACTGGAAAAGCCTGTACCCTAAAAATGACAAATAACACAGGAAAAAAAATCTCTAGAAAAGTCTGCTCTCCGTCTCTAGGCGAAGGACTGGGAACAGGAAATAGCAAGCCAGAAGGCTTTTTGACAATACCTGCCCAACTCTAGGTGAAGACGACAGGGAACACCCCCACACTCACTACAACCACCCCTATCAGAAGAGGCTGTGATGGGAGCCTAGACTTCCACCCCCAGCCAGCAGTAACAAGGCACTTATCCCTCTACCATGGAGTCAGGCAGACCAAGGAGGGAGGTAAGTGAGTAAAAACAAGAGTAAGAATTAAGACATTCTCTAAGGAAGCAGGAGGCCGCCAGATCCCCTGGCACCTGTCGTCACTAGCTGGCCACTCTTCTATTCCCACAGACAGCTGCAGGTTTCCTCTCTGAGGCGGGGCACTCACTGAGGACCAGACAGCAAGCAGTTCTGAAGACAGTGAAATGCCAAAGTTAAACCAGGAGTGTGACATGGAAGAAAACAGACTGAATAATGAGACCTCTTGCCCACTTCTCCCAAAAGGCTCTCAGAATTCTAGCAGGCAGGATGATTCTCTCAATAAGTTATAACAAAATAGAAATGGTACAGACAGCTGTCTCTGGTAACAATGCAATAAAACCAGAAATTAATGAACTTTAACCAAAGGACATTCTATTTGCAATTTACATCTATGCAACATCCATTGCATAGAAACATCTAAATGGCACTAGTTTACTAAATACATATAGCCCTGATATGTCACTAAATTGGTAAGGAACACCAGGAAAGTGATGTGGTAAACAGACATATTCATGCAATGACCCACTTCTGCCGACATTACCAACATGCTTCAGGGAGCAGGAGACACCAAGCACCCTGTTAGATGTGAGTCATCGTGAAAATCTCAGAGAAGAGATGCTCTGCTGTTCTCTTTTCAAAACATAATTGGTGTTAGGAAGGGAGGACGACAGAGAAGACACAATGAGGTACATGATTCCCCTTCCTCACCTCTATGGCCTTCCCTCACTGTATGACCCACTTAGTAACAACAGAAGCAATGGTTTTTAACGACTTGCTGAACAGGCCGCCACAACAAATCAGCTTCAAAGGACGAGTCCCCAAGGACATCACTTCTCCTCCTGGGCAAAGTCCAAACAAAAGAAGCTCATTCAGCTGTAAACTACACACATGCACACACACACAAACACACAGGTAGGCACACCCTCACTCACATGTGCACATGGAGGCACAAGGAGCTCACACCATTATCCGTGTTCTTAATGAAGGGCTTAGGCTTCATTAGAAGTTTGAACCATCAGACAATTATGAGGCAAAGTGCTGTCCTACCTGCTCTCCACTGAGCTTCCTCCACTTCCTCCTTTTGCCAGGAGGACATGTGTCAGGAGAGGGTGAGTGGGGGGAGGGCAGCAGAAGATGGATGTAGAGAAGAGACGAGGAGCCATGTTGGGTAGGGTGTTTTAGACCATTTAAGAATGGGAGTAGGTGGGATCTGTGGGAAACAGGGCTGTGAGAGGGTGTTGAGAAGAAAAGAGGCATGAGAAATCACAATATTCTAACACAGCAATCTGGCTGCTGGTATGGAAAACAAGTTGAAGGTGAAGAGGGGCAGGAGAAGAAGCAGGAGGAAATTCAAGAGATAAAGCAATAATTCCATCAAGAGATAACAGAACTGTTTCTGTGCTGCGAGGAAGTACATAGATGCTACAAGAGCCCCTGATTGGGGATTCAATATGATGAGTGACACCCAAGCCAAACAACCACTGTCCACCTGGTGGAGATGGCAGCGTGCCTCTCAGTTACAGTTCATGCAAGCATAGTGAAAACATAATAAAGATGTAGAATATATGAACAACACAAAAAATATGATACTGTGTGTGTGTAAAACTCTGCACCTGACATTTAGAGGTTACACATTCTCCTAAAGCTCTCAGAGAATAAAACAAAAATTGACAATGTTCTAACTCATAATGCGACTGTCAACAAATTTTGAAGACATGGAATCAACAGACCATGCTTTCCACGCACTAGGCAATTAAATTAGATATCATTAGGAAAAAGATAACATTATAATTCCCCTGGACATAACATTTTTTAAATGCTTCTAAATAAGAAATGGGTGGGATCAACACAATGAAATTAGAAAATAATGAGATCTCAACAGTAATAAAATTATTGCATGCCAAAATTTGTAGCAAGCAGCTACAACAGAACTTTCAGGAAAATTTAGCCTTAAAAGCCTGTATTAGGAATAAAGAAAGGCAGAAAATTAGTGAGTAAAAAATGCAATTTAAGAAATTAGAGAAATAACAGAAAGTATCCACAGAAAGTATAAAGAAGGTAAAAATAAAGAATAGATCAGAAGTTAAGAAAAGAAAAAAGAGCCAATTGAGAAAATGAACAAATATAAAATTTGGTTCTTCAAAAAAGGTCTAAAAATATACAACCCTCTGATGACATTGGTCAAGAAAAATAATCAAGAAGGCACGGATGATATTAGGAATTAAAAGGAAGACAAGGGTTTCTGGTTCTGGACAAGATGAAGTCAACACATTTCTCCCTATTCTTCCTGCTGAGTACAACTGAAAACTCTGGACATTAAATATGAAACAAACATCAGAATACTTCGAAAGGTGGAGAAAAGAAAGTAGACTGGCTAGGATCTTTAGGATTTGAAGAGTGATGCAGCAGTGAATTCACCATTTCGTTTGTTTTGTTTCCCTCATATATATTCCAAATTGGTCACTGGAAAAGCCTGCACCCTAAAAATGACAAAAAGAAAAAAAAAGAAAAAAGTCTCAAGAAAAGTCTACTCTCTGTCTCTAGGCGAAGGACTGGGAACAGGAAATCTAGCAAGCCAGAAGGCTTTTTGACAATACCCGCCCTACTCTAGGTGAAAATGACAGGAAACACCACTCCCCTCCCCCCAAACACTACAACTGCTCCTATCAGAAGAGGCTGTGATGGGAGCCTAGACTTCCACCCCCAGCCAGCAGTAACAAGGCACTCGTCCCTCTACCGTAGAGTCAGGAAGACCACGGTGGGAGCCTGGACCTGTTGTTAATAAGGTGCTCCCTTCCACCTGGTGTTGGCAGAGGCCTGCTAAGATAGGAGATTTACATAAGATCCAGAATATTATAACATAATAACCCAACTTTCCAGGATACAAAAATCACTTCTCAGATCAAAAACTAGGAAAATTTCAACATGAAAGAGAAAAGAAAATCAACAAATGCTAAATACTGAGATGACAATTACAATTCTTACAATTCTCTGACAAGGATTTTAAAGCAGCCATCATAAAAATGCTTGTTCAATGAGCATTTATAAACATTCTTAAAGCAAATCTCTAAAAAACTTCAAAGAGAAATAGGAAATATAAAGAACCAACAAACTACCAAAAATCAATCAAAATGAAATAGACAATCTCAATATTCCTAAAGCCATTAAG